GCACCGCCCGCAGCACCGCCCGCAGCACCGCCCGCATCACCGCCCCGACCCCCAACACTCGCGGCTGCCCCAGGGCCGCGCCCCTGGCCGCAGCAGCCCGCACCCCCGACCTAAAGAACACGCACTCTGCTACTGTTCGGAAATGATGCCCAGCCCACCAGAGGAGCTACGGAGACGCAAGGCGGTTCACAGCACACACGCTTTGCCTGCTAAGCTGATGCCGACAGACCACCGGGGTTCTTGTGGTAACGGTGTCCCTGTCTGCTTTCGACTTCTCTCTTATGCCCTCTCTGTTCCTTTTCCTATCCCCCTTAGTAGGAACACTTAACCGTTTTTATGAATAAACAGTTCTCAGATATACTGTTGTATTTGCACTTTATTTTCGTTCAAGAAATCCATTAGAAGAATCCTCCCCGTTTTATAGCAGAACACGACGACATCCTTTACTGCATTTTCTCTTTTTTTTCCTTACAACTTTCACTTAGATGTGCTCTCCTGCTTGTCCCAAAGAGCTCAGATCACTGCCTTTCTCTCCAAAATGTCTGGTCCTGCTCATCAACTGTCGGGACCACTCTCAACTTGGAGAACAATAAGTAAGATGTCTTCTGTTACTTGCATGGCACAGGGGTCAGTTCTTCCCATCTGTTCACAGAATCACAGAATAGTTATGGCCGGAAGTGACCTCTGGAGATCATTTAGTTCAACCCCCCTGCCATGGAAGGATCACCCACAGCAGGTGACACAGTAACTCATCCACAGGCATTTGGATTGTCTCCAGAGAGGGAGACTCCACACCGTCCCTGGGCAGCCTGTTCCAGTTGTCTGCCACCCTCAATGAAAATAAGTTGTTCCTCATGTTGAGGTGGAGTTTCTTATGTTTTATTTTATGGCCATTGCTTCTTGTCCTGTCACTGGGCACCACTAAACAGTCTGGCACCATCCTCTTGGCACCTCCCTTTGAGATATTTCTATGCATTAATGATCTGTTCTCAGTCTTGTCCAGACTATCCATGTCCAGCTCCCAGTCTCTCCTTGAAAAAGAAATGCTGCAGGCCACTCCTCACCTTTGTAACTTCTGCTGGAACCTCTCCAGTAGCCCCTTTTCCTTCTTGGGCAGAACTGGACACAGCACTCCATGTGTTCCTCACCAGGGACAAGTGGAAGGGGCAGGGTGGCCTCCCTTGACTTCCTGATGCCCTCCAGGATCCCACTGGCCTTCCTGGTTGAGAGGACACACTACCAGCTCATGGACAGCTTGTCACCAAGATTCCCAGGGCCTTTTCAGCAGAGCTGTTCTCCACTAATTCAGCCCCCAAGCTGTTCTGGTACTGGGCATTATCCTACCCCAGGTGCAGGACCCTACACTTGCCCTTACTGAACCTAATTTGGTTTCTCTCCACCCAGTTTTCCAGCCTATCAAGGTCCTGCTGAATGGCAGCTCAGCCTTCAGGTATATCAGTCACTCCCTCCAGTTCTGTATCATTACCAAACCTGCTCAGGGCCCAGAATTCTATCCCTTCGTCCAGAGCATTGATAAATAAGTTGAATAAGTATTGATCCCTGGGGAATGCCACTCACTACAGACCCCCCAGCTGGATTCTATTCCACTCTTCACAATCCTCTGCCATTCTGCTAGTTCTTTGATCCATCTCACTGTCCATTTATCTAACCCACATTGCCTGAGCATACCTATGAGGATGTTGTGGGAGACCATATCAAAAGCCTCGATGAAGCTGAGGTAGACACCATCCAGCACTCTCCCCTCATCAACCCATCCTGCCATGCCATCATAGAAGGTTTTCAGATTGGTCCTAATGGGTTGTTGAGGGATGTCATTTGAGTTGTGATTTTTCTTCACCTGCAGGAAATTTCTGTTTCTGTGTTTCTCCTGGATCAGGCTCCAGTCTAAGCCATGAATTTGCAGGTCATCTCCTCTCCTTATTCTTTTTCTTGGTCAGACAATATCTGCTGTGATGCCCAGCAGCCTGATGTGCCACAAGCCTCTCCATAGCTCCACAGTACGTTTGTTTGCCTGACAGACATTTCAGCCATTCCCAGAACATCCTAAAGTTCTTCCTCAAGTTATTCACTCATGTCTATAACCTCTCATATAAGATCTTCTCTCTCATTCAGGATACAACTTCAGACAGTTCCCCTACCTTAAACATAAAAGAAACGAATCCAACAGCTCCTCCTTCGCTCTAATGAGCACCTGAACTCCTTAATTAGTTTCTCTCATTTCTGAAGATCTTTCCTTTTATAGACCAAACTCTGCTAGTGAACCTGCTGATGTATTTTCCCTTTCAATTCACACCAACCTGCCTCTAGATCCCCTAGTCTGAAGTCCTCTTCTGAGAAAACACAAGAAGAGGTACAAGAGCAGCATCCTTTGGGGAGCTCCTGCTGTAACCTACCACTGCTGCCAAGCAGAGGAGATGTCCCTGGTAGTGGGAGACGCAGTGGTGACATTTTAAGACTTATTTTGACACCACCAGGTGACAAAATTAGAAAGGATGCCCCCATCCTGGTTGCAGTAGGATTTTTCCATTCCCAGTGTACCCAGTTAAGATTCCTGCAGTGGCCAACAACTTGCTTGTATTATCCCTAATACCTGTCTGAGCTCTGAAGCAGCTTGGTTTGAGCATCAAGGTCTGCAGGCACTGGAGACAAAAGGGAGAGAAGCCACATAGCTCAGAATACCCAGGTGCCTTCTAGAAGAGAGCCTAAACGGAAGGAAAGGGCTGATGGTTCTACTACCTACTCTGATTTTCTGGGTTCAGTGCTGTATTGTGGACTGATCACTCTGAACTCTGAAACAACCTAAGTGGTGTGGTGCACCATGCAGGAGAAGTTACCCACTCTTCCTCTGTATCCGCTTCATTTCTCTTAAGTGATAACCTGTATCCAAATCCTTCCTCCACCCCATCCCAATTACAGAAACACCAAAAAAGCCACAGAAGTTAATCACTCAAAAAAGAGAAAGGCTAGATGCAAAAGTTATCCAGGAAAAAACAGAGATTTACAAAGAGGCTTCACAAAACATCAAGTACTGGTTTTCCAGCAAAGAAAATCAAACTTGCTCCATTGCACAGGTCGGATCAGTTACAGAAAGAACCCAGTTGCCATGAAAAAAGGCTGTTCTATGAGACACTCATACTTGTCTTGCTGAATAAGTGTGTAGCTAATGATGCAGTGACAGTGAGAAGAAAAAGGAAAGCTTCATCTTTATGAACCTTTGGAGAGCTGGATCCCATCCCTCCCAGCCCAGAGCTCCAGTGCAACACTGGATGAACCAGATAAGACAAAAGCTTCAGAGGTGGCTGATAATTCCATGTTTGTTTTCCCAGTCCTACACCTGAAACACCAGGGATCCCACCTGCATACATGCCATGGGCCCATCATTTTAATCAGTTTAATTTCTGGAATAATTAAACACTTCCCCACTTTCTGGGGGAGAAAGAGTGGAGTTAAACAAATAAACCCCTCCAAGGTCAGTCTACATTTGGCAATTTCTCTCTTGTTTTCTTGTGCCACAGCAGGACAGAGCTCTGCCCACCGCCTCACTGGAGTGCTCCCCAAATAGATCTGTCATTTGATAGAAACTGTGGGCTGAAACAAGAGCACGAAGGGATCCCATACAGAGGAATAGGATTTTGTATCCAGAGCAGGGTTTGGGGGCTCTGTAGCAAACGGAGCACACAGTATCTGGTGAGGATGAAAAGAAACACTGCTCCTCCACAAACTAAGCAGGAGCTCTACAGTACATGATGATGCAGTTACAGGCTGTATCCTATTCCCAAGAACCAGAATTATGATGGCAGAATGGTTTTGGTTTATTATTAGGGTGTTGTGTTTGGTTTTTTCAATGTGAAGGGTGAAAAAGAATTGCTGAATTTTAAACACCTAATTCTATGAAGACAAAGAGAAGAGAGCAGGGAAAAGGTGAAGCCTTTAAAAGAAAGGCTGCACTGCAACACAAACAGGCATATGTGAAAAACCTAATCTTCCTACTGCTGATGAAGCTTCAGCTCCAGGCCCCCCACATGGGCCTCTGCTGACAGCCACAATGCCCCCAGCAAATGCCTACTCCTTTGCTGTACTTATACCCTGCTCTCTCCTCTTAACACCTCCATTCCAGGCTCAGCTGTGTACTTTCAGAGGCAAAAGTTCATCAGTCACCAGTCACACCCCAGTCACACCAGTCGTACCCCAGCTCACAAGGGCAGGACACATGCCTCTGTTGGCAATACCTTTTTAGGCACCCTATTCCAAGCTATGTCTGTTCTTGGGGATTCTCCACGCTGGACGTGGTGAGGCACCATGGAACCTTAATTGAGGGGCTTATGAGCTGGGAAGAAGTTCTCAGCCCACCTCTTGTGGCTCTGGTCAGGCTTACTCAGAGAGAAAGCAGAGATCATTCATGCCACTGAGCACAACTTTCCACTCACCATAATCCTGTGTCAGGGGAGCTCAATGATGTGACAAGCTAGGACAGGAGGTCAAGCTGTGTCCTGATCACAGCATGTGAGGGCACCCTGTAATTTCCAGCTGCACAGGGTACAGCTAGCTCCCCTCAAAGACAAAGGAAAGCAGGTTACAAACAGCATTTTGTCCTTTATGACTTCTGCAAATCAGCATACAGAGTGCAGTTGCTTACAGAAAAGGAAAGCAACAGTCCTCCCCACCAACTGTTGCCTGCAACACATAAAAAATAAAACTAAATTATTTAGTGGATGTTCTAGTCTTGTAGGCAACTGTGTGGTAAGAGTTGCAAAAATGACATAAAGCTGGGAGACAGCTGAAAGGGAAGCTGTTGACCAGGAACTGACAAGCAGGTAGCAGAGAGGTATTGGTGGTTCTGCTCAAATTTCCCCATAGAGCCTTGTCCTTGTTCCCAAAAAGGCTTTTTCAGGGTATGAGGAGTACCAGGTACCTCCTCTGGCCCAGGCTCCCATTGCAGGGGTAGTCTGACAGTGATCCTGATCTCCCATTGCCTTCACTGCTCAGTTTTCACTATTCCCACAGTCCAGCACAGAAGGACCTGAGACCACACATATGTGCAGTTGATGCTATGCAGAAGGCAGGTGGAAGTGCCAGGTGAGGCTTGCCCATCATCTGGTAAAACGTGTATGATGCTACCTTGAAGACACACACACCCCACCCTGTCCACACAATTTGCCTATTTCAGATTTTTTTACCCGCTTTTCTAAGGCAGTCAGGAATCCCTCTTCTGCTGCCTCCAAAACTCTGTCATGGGGCTCAGCTGTGTCACGCTCTGCATCAGCTCCTCCCTGCAGCACAGCAAGTGAGCACTCAGCATCGCTTCTTCGGCTATGCTCTCTGCGGGGAAAAAGATTCAGAAACACAAGACAAGAAATAAGTCAGTGTGAAGAAACTGACAGGTTCCTGAAGTAAGGGAGACTCTCTGAAAGATCTAAGTGAATAGCAAAGCTCATCCCAAGCACAAGCAGCAGAGGAAAATCACTTTACTATTCTCTTTAAACTCAGTGAAAGGAAAATGTCTCGTTTATCTAATAGAGCACAAAGCCATAAAGCAAGCTGGAAGTTAACACCAGGTTTGCAAGGCCACTGTTTTGTGTCAAACTCGAGTAAAAAAGAAGTTTTCAATCCCAAGCCTCAGCTGCACTCACACTGGCTGCCAGCCATTAATCCAGCCCTCCAGGCAGCAGTAAGGAGAGCCCGGCACAGCCACACCTCCTGCTACAGGCAGAAATGCTGCAGGATCTCGGCCAGCACATGATAAACCTCCCACATCCGGATACAGGGTTGCTCTGTAAGGTCATCCACTCACTTTGCCTGAGGTGGCACCCAATTTCCTACCTGCTTGCTGTGGGGCTTCTCCGCTGCCCGGTTCCCTCTCCAGCAAAGCCACTCTCAGCTCAGGATTTGTGTCCTGAAACAGCTTCAGAAAAGACACGAGGGTCTGAGTGTCCAGGGGCCAAGCATCCCGAGTGTCACTATCCTGAGTGTGAGCATCCTTAACTTTGCCCAGCAGCTTCTTGAACACTGAATGTTCTTCTGCCTTGCCCAGACAGGCATCCAGAGCCTACAGCAGAACAGAAATGCAGGAAAGTTTACAGAGCAGAGTCAACTGCCCTATACAGACAGATACAACAAGAAGAACCCTGGAGTTTAGGTCAGGGGACAAAAAAATTAAACGGAAAAAAAAATAACCACCCAGACACACACCACTGAATGCAAACTCTGGTGTGTCACCACCCACCCTGGGAAGCAGGACAACAAGCCCTGCTGCCAGCCCTTATCCATACAGCAAATCCCACAAACTGGAGCAGCTTCCAGCACCAAATGTTTCCTCATGTCCAACTAGACAAAGACCACTAAGTGTAAAAGACCTGATAAAGCATGAATTTAACACTGCTACTTTGGAAGGCAAAGCTAGGGTATTTCAAGTGGAACTTTCAGGAATCTCCATTCTTAATCACAATAGAATTCTGTCTCCTAGAGAAAACTCTGGAGAGAAGACACACAAACTCTGAATGCCATGGGCTCTCAGCAGACCTGGCAATGAAACCCAGAGCTCCAAAATCTACTTCAGTGATCTGAAACAGCAAGCAGAGGCAGATGTGCTTGTACAGATATGGAAATAAAAGGCAAAGAAATAAGCTGGAACTCTTACTCCCATTTCCCCAGAGTCCTTTAATGCTGTAAATATTGCCCCTGAAAACACATGCTTCCCAGCTCTCCAGGAGAGATGCCAGCGTTTTGCAGCAGGCAGCCTTCATTGGAGACTCCAGGGATTTGATAAAGGTACCTTTGAAGTGGGAAGTTCAGCTCTGCTCCAGGGAGAACGGCCATTTTCTGCTGTCATTGTCATTTTTATTCTGATGATAAAAAGGCTGTATGCAATTGCTTGGGGCCGCACCAGGGGCTGGACTGGCTTTTCCTAGCAGATGTAAATGCTCACACATTAGGGCAGCTCGGCAGTGCAATGACCTATTGCAGAGGGAAAACTGCAGCAGTCCCAGCTCTTCCCACTCACAGCAGTTTGCCTGCCGAACAGAGCGTGGACGTGAAGGGCTCTGGTGTAATGAAAACGCAGATGTGCTGAAGAACAAATACAAAGGTATTTTTTACATGCAAACAATAATTTGTAATGAGACTTGATAACCAGATCATGTTTGTTCTCAAGGTTTATGTGCCTGGCCCCTTCCAGATCAAAATGAGCATGTAAAACACAAAATATCTCCAATCTCACCACCTTAAAGTTGTTCAGATCCTGCCAAATTCATGTTTGCACTAATATGGATGAAAAGTAACTTGCATTGTTGCAATATATTTTTCAATTTTAAGGGTTTTTAATTAAAATCAGAATAGCATTGCTACCCAGAGCCCCAGGTTAACATCCCTTCCTCAGCACATGGATTTGGTTAATAGAACTGAGTTTTCAATAACTGAAATATTCTGCTATTTATAGGCTCTTTCCAGAAGACATTTCCTTTGACACTTTGCTCAGTGGGAGCAACAGCCTTTTAACACTGTTGTGAAAGAGCACACAGTATACTTCACACTTACATTGAAGCACTAACAATTCCCAAAGATCCTGGAAAAAAAATGGAGAAATACTGATACCAGCAGGAATCCCAGCTTCTACTTAGTCCTAATGTGCCCCCCACATTACAGCCTGATCCATCAGGCTTTCACTGCCAGGGACACTGTAAAATTCTTCATGGCCAAGTTGGCACCAATTAGCATACATCCAGCTTCCACATGCGAGGAAGAGTCTGCCTTCTGCATCGGGAAACTGCACCACCAAGACCTGGCTTATGTGTCAGAGCTGTGCCACCAAACAGATTCCATACCACTCCAGAATTCTCACCCCCACTGAGGCTATCAGTTCTGGTGGCCAAAGCACTCCCACCTCAGCACCATGGAACACATCACATACCATAGAACAGCCTTCCCAGTTAATCTCAAACATGCCTATGTCCACAGCAGCCCCATGGCAAGTTCTGAACAGGAACATGTGCAGGGTAAGGATAGATAGATCTCTGTCTCTATAGCATCTCCACATCTTCAATGTTTTTCCAGAGACTCAACCACATGCGCAAATAATGTACACACCCCCCCCCCNCCATCAGAGTCCCCCAGACCCTCCGGGATCCCCAAGTGCTCCTCAGCGCCCAATCGGGACCCCCCAAAAGCACTCCCCCCCCCCCCGAGCAATGTGCAGTGGCCCATAACTGAGACTAAAGAGGGACGTGAGGAGAGAGGAAAGGCACGCAGCACAGTCATTAGCCCAGCTGGCCATTAACTCTATTCTGCAGGTGGGTGAGCACAATTATGGCTTTTCATGCCTTATCCATGCTCCTGCTACCACCATGAGAGCACATCCCAGCAAAAAGCCACTTTATTGACTATTTCTGAGTGATCTCCTTCAAGCATCAGCTTTAGAGTGAATGCAAGCATCCATATCTACAAGAGATGGATTGGGAAACACATGTTCAGGGTGGCAGGAAAAGTTGACTCCCTTCAGCTCTGAGAGATACTTCAGTACACTGCAGGACTGTGGGGAAGCTTCCACAGCCATAATCATCAGTCCCCTGTAAATGCACACTGCTTTGGGTTTTGATGTACAGAAGGTGATGAAAATATAAAAAAGCAATTGGAAACCTGCAGGATTACGGACTATTTCACTGCTGGCTCTTCTGTGGCTCCATGGTTATCCAACCTTTGGAAGCTGGGCAGCACTGTTCCCTAGGCTGCTGCTGCTCACAGGGTCAGTGGCATGGACAACTGCAGGACTGGCTCCACACACCTCATCCTCAGAGAAGTCCCCTGGCTGTGACCCCACCATTAAGTCAATCAACCATCAGTCAACTATTGTATTGTGTATACAATAATCAAAGAAGAACTATGTTCATGTTTTTCCTTCAGAAACCTAAAGGGATTTTTTTTTTTCAAGCCTGCATCTGTACATGACTTTTGAGGGAGACCCCAGGAAGGCTCTTTGGAAAACACTGACCCCCTGCTTGGTCCACACAACAAGAACAAAAGCTCAGCCCAAACTTGTACAAAAATGCACCAGATCAGAGTGAAAAAAAGTTCTCTAGCTCTGCCACCATGAAAAAAACCAAAACCAAATCCTCACAAGATATCTCTCCTAATCAGGATGCAAAAGATAACAGTAGACTTCTTTCTTCTGCCTCATCCAGAAATCCCTGCAGCTGCAAATGAAAGGCGACAATGACTGGACAGGCCCACAGGCAATGGAAATGATCCACAAACACAGTGACATTTATTCTACATGGGAGAATCAATGCTCCCCCACTTCATCTGAACCTGGCAGTAGAGAGAACAAATGAGCTGTGCAATAATTTGAATTGAGTCTCTCTAAGAGAGCACAGGAAGATAAGACTTGACATCAGCAAAGCTCTTCTGCGCTTCCCTAAATTACTGCAATTTCAGTCTTGTTCTCCTTTCCAAGCAGATTTCATCTAAGCCAAAACCAAATTAGACAGGAATAGTTTATGTGAAATATACAGAGAAACTATAAAACAGAAACAACCCCAAAAATCACATCTCCCTAAACTGACATGCAATTCATCTGCATTTTTCAGTACGGGGAGCAGAACAGAATATCAAACTCAGAGAGAAGCAACAGTTCTCGCAAAAGCCAGCCCTGCCCCACAAGCCTTGTTGGGGAAAAACCCTACAACAAAATGAGTCTTCACTGGAGGCAGGAAGAAATAGGCAGGAACAGTAGAGGGGAGCAGACCAGAGTGCTGCACAGAACAACATACCATGCAGGGATGAGTTCACCAGCAAAGGAAAATAAATAGAGGCATCCAAGGCCAAATTCCACTAAAACCACCGGAGCCTGAACACCAGGACAGCCTTGGTGCCAATAGGCAGGCTGACAAAAGTCCCCAAAACTTTACTGCCCAAAATAACTGGTGCTTTCCTAGAGAGATCAGCTCCTTCCAGAAGGGTCCCAAGAGAATACTCCCGAGGAATGGGAAATCGCCCCTGTAGCAGGGCAAGCACACCCAGCAAGAATGCTTTCTACACAGAAACAGTGTCTCACCGACTTCCAGACAACTTTCACTTGCCCCAATGCACTCGAGACTTCAAACAAATGACTAGCAAAAGAATACAAAGAAAGGGAGGGGGAAAAATGAGAGAAAAAAAAAATCCATTGACATCTACTGGCACAACCTCAGCCTGTTATACATCCCAGTTTGGCTCTTTGGAGCTGAACTTGCACTTCAAGCATGACTTTAAAAATACACTGCTGTGTTTCCCCCCAAAGAAACACTAGGCTCTTGTGGGGAAAAGCTGCTCTGTGTGCTGGAAACACTCTCAGTGCTAAGGTCCACAGGTCCTGCTGGTCCCAGAAGAGCAGTAATCAGAGAGGGACAGATCTGGCTCAGCTCTTGCTTATAACAGGCTCCAGCCTGTTCTCCCACTGCCCTGGGGCTGACACTTTTCATGCTTGTCACAGCTGAAAAGTGATTTTTCAGGAAGCCTTAAAGAAAATACATTTCTTATTTATTCAGCACTTATTTATACCTGCAGAAAAATTGTCCAGCTACCACTGTGCGGTCAGACACCCAAACTGGCTCTGAGCTCTACAACCTCTCCCTTGGCTCCTGCTGTAACAGCTCATTTGGGAGCACAAAAGACCAGGAATGGATCTGTAAACCTTCACTAATGGGTCTGAAGTGGTGAAGGAACACGAAATGGCAGGAAACGGCAGTGATGGCAAAGCAATAGCAAACAAAGCTGTCGTGCAGTGCAGAAGCTGCAGCTCACCTGCCTGGGCACTCTGCCAGCACAGCTCTGCCCTGCCTCCAGCCGTACGGGGAGGCAGGAACAGGACCTGTCAGCATTGAAATGAACAGGGCTTATGCCTTTATTCGTGCTCAGCTCTTTATTAAACAGATCAGCTGGGCAAGGGGCTCGACAGGGAACTTGCCCCCACTGTTGTAGCTCTCGCAGGCAGCTGAAAAGTGAGATGTGCAGAGTCTGCTGCTGAAGTCCAGCAGCAGCTGTCCCCTTTCCTTTCCTCATAGTAACACCAGAAAATTCTTGATTCTTTGCTCTGACTTTCCACAGCCCACTCTAGTCTTGTCCTCCACAGGTTATGGCGACAGGTCAAATGTCGATCAGGGATATGTTTTCTTCTTCCTCAGCCAGCGTATTGTACCTGTCCAGCCACCTCAACTGTGTTTAGTTCTTCATTTAGGGGTGTCTTTACCCCGGCACGGAGACTCCAGGGACAGACTCTGCAGCCTTCTCCACCTTCAGCTACCCGGAAAGCTACAACAGCAGGGGTGAGATCCGTGTCTTTTTAATAAAGATCTGAACATTAATAAAGGCATAAGCCCTGTTCATTACAGGGTGAAGAAAAACTTGCATGATTTATGGAAGTAAACACACCTACCTCCTTTTGAGAGGCATCAATTTCTCTGCACTTCTCAAGACTTTTCAGCAGAACCTGGGCATCAGAAAGAGCCTCAGAGAAAACATTTTCAGATCAAACAAAGAAACCCATTTTATAGCTTTTGCTCTCTGCTGCTGTGCAAGGGAAACAAGATGAGTTATTTGCTAATTGAATGGATTCACAGAAAGCAGGATGTGATTGAAAGGCATCAGTTTGTAACCAGCACATTGGCTATAAAAGGAAAACTGTGACTTATAAATCCCTTCTGAAGACATCACACAGCCTGGAGGGAAAACCAACAGTTTATTTAACACAGTTATAAATGGAACATTTATTTTAAACTCAGTACAGCCTCTGTTTTCCTCCCATGATGAACAGGAGTTTAAAGGATAAGGTAGCATTAGCAAGCAACTCTATTCACTTGCTGTTAGACATATTGCCTAATCAGCCCTATGTCCTGCAGTCACACAGATTCCACTGCATGGCAA